ACTCTCTAAATAACCAAACGAACTATGTACTGTGACGAAGCAATCTGAATGAACTTGGTAGGTCGGTATTACTATTTTCTCTCAAAAAAGATCATCATCTGAATATGAAAAATGGTTGATTTGGCTGGTAGGACTCCAGGTCATCGAAGACTTAGTCTGGCAGGAACATATCTCGTCAACTGCGGCAGCTGCTCGGAAAAAGCTGGGCTATCTGTTTAGGGATAGGAAGTACTTTTCTCCTCACTCTGTGCAAAGCCCAGATAAGATCTAGTCTCGAGTACTGCTCACATATTTGGGGTGCTGAAGCCCTGACTACGTTACTCATACTCGATGCTGTTCAAAGGAGGGTTGTCCGACTGATCGATTACTTTTTTCTAACGAACAGTCGCGAAACCCTTTCGCATCGACCGGGCGTCCACTATCTAATTCTCTTCTACCCTACGCCAACGGGCTTTGCTCCCGAGAGCTTTTCTCCATGATATCGCCGCGCAAGGTGCCTGCTAGACAGAATCGCCTGTCTTCGACCTCCCATCCTAACTGTGTCGAACATCGAACGTCTAGAACTGGCCCATATGACCGCTCATATGTCCCTAGGGTAGCGAGATTGTGGAAAAATCTGCAAAAGGAGACTCTCAGTTCTACTAACCTTAGGCAGTTCAAAAATTGGATCAACAAAGTTTCTTAGCTCTTCGTAGCTTTCGCGGCTGCTTCAATATAAAAAAGTAGATGGATTCTGTACTTACGCATTAGTGGTGGCAGACATTTGATGAAATGAGATTTAGTAAACTATATTCATAAATCATCAGGAATCACTACTATTAATAAATTCCGCGAGAAAGTCAGGAATGGTCACGACTTCGAGGACTAGGAGCTTCACTGCACCGGGGTTACGGAATTACGGCGCTAAGCTCAAAAATCGTATGCCATCTTAAAATTATCATGGTCTGAAAGCGATAACGTGCCTTTTAGATTTTGGTAGTTTGCTCCACGCGATTTTCACATAAGTATACCCATAACCTCTTCGTTATTTGGAAGTCGTGATCACGTTACTCGTTTAAATAACTGATATATAGATGTATACCTAAATTTTCCATGAACAATTATGGTGATATCGGTTGTAAAAAGATTAACGGAATAGCTCTGTATTTTTCCGGATAAGGTATTTATGAAATAGCTCAAGGCCAGGTCCTTACTAACTTTGAGTAGGGAGTTCAATTAAAATCCTTTTTATACATATCAAGATCAACTTCGCCTCTAAAGATCGAATTAAGGTTCAATGTGTGAGGATAGGGAACATTCCTAGAAGTTTAGCAGGATTACTAGTATAATTCAACAAGGATTCCTATGGTAACCTTGGATTCAACCTTAAGCCCCACGAAACAAATGTGTGAGTAGCTCTGTTGATAGAACGAAGTACACCTGTAACGTATTATTTTAACGAAACTGGCGCAGTTTTCGTATTTAGAACACTCAGCCCTAGTTTATTCCAAATTTGCTCACAAAAAAACATTTCAGGTCTCGTGCTGTCATGAAAAATTTTCTTTCATTTCCCTTGGCCCTTTTCTTTGCTGTTCTGATTAATTTTCGATGAGAAAGAGGGAAAATCATGAAAAAACTGGCTGTGCCAGCACCGGTGAATACAAAGCAACAAGCAAAACTTGTCAAATATACGACACTATTGATAGTAGTAGCACGAGCTCCCTCACGTCGTGTGATATTTTTCACTAAGGGCAAAACTAGTTCAAAGTGCGGACCAAAATAACATGAATTTATACATTTGTTTTGTCAAAAGAACATGAAATTTGCATCAGTATAATACTGTTTCTTCCAAAAGAAAATGCTATTAGGGGGTCGCCTACTTAGTGCGGCTGCGTGGATGAGGTCTTCATTTCGGATTTTTACTTCTCACGCCAACTGGCGAGGAGATGTTTTTCGATGTCATATGACATCTCACTCATTTACGTCGGTCTGTCTGTCGACTAATTATTGGCCCGTGTATTCACTTGGAAAGTACAGAGCGGATTTGGTAAATTTCCACACAAAGTTACTGATGTAACAAGGACGAAAAAGCTTTGTAGTATTTGAAAATCGGTGCAGCTACGGAACAAAACGCGAAAAAATGAAAATTGCTCAAACTTCTTTTTTTGACATTTCAGAGGCTCCTGGTCATTTTTAGAAAATTCTTTGTAAGGGTAAAGAACAAGGTAAATAATTAGGCGTTGGGGGTTGTAGGAGGTGGAAGAGGGTATATCTCAATTTTTTTATGCATTTTGACGTTAGTATATTTATACGCTCCCAACTCCGGTGATTCTGCGCATCTATTACCAATATTCCACACATGATAGATTAAGGGTTCGCGGCGGGCGTGCCAGTCTCAATAATTGTCCTATCATTACTGCCGCGTATGACGTGTCGTGTGGTCAGGTATGTGGGAAGGGCCATGTTGCCAAATTGATGGTAAGGCAGATAAAGAGTGTCTATGAACTAATTATATGGGCCTGTTTGACAGACGTGATGCGCTTAAATTCTTGGTTATACATATTCGTAGCTAATTTATTTCTCAGAGGGTCTAATTTGTGCTGGACATAATTCTTTAGGAACTGTAGACAGTGTTGCGTGAGAAGAGTAGAATCAACCTACTTGATGCCATTTTTTTAGACATGAAAAAGTCGTCATCTCCACTTTCAAATAGAAAAGTTTAAAATGATTATTCTATCGGTCTTTCCTGTCAGGAGTGTGAGGTTCTCCGGAGAATATTTTCTGAGATTCATAAATACGATTTGATACAGGTTTGGGGTTGTTTTTCCTAATTCCACCCCTGTACTATTGTCTACCAGCGAAACGACGCCGCCGCCTCCGTGGACTGTGGCGTCGCGGCGGCGTCGATCCAGATGGCGATGCGGTTGCCGGGCAACGCGGGCGGCGAGCGGCGGGCGGCCGGTTGCCGGCCAATGGCCGCGACGTCGATAACCAATCTTGAATCTCGTTTTTCGCATGGCCGCCCCGCCGCCCAGATGTTACTGCGAGAAGTGCCGTTGGACACAACTACACAACCCTTTCCTATTCATTCTGAGTGGTGTTTGTTGTTTTTTGGTTACATCAGTTGAGACACAATATCTCGTCACTATTTCAGGAAGTACATTATTTATCAGATATTCATAATGAAGACATTAACCCTTGAATTACCAATGTTACTTGTTGGTGACAGAACTTGAACTTTTGTTTTTTGCCACTATGGAGTTTGATTTTTTCATCATTCTATTATTGTTGCAAAGCTAATTAGTCCATTTTTATTTCTTGGAAACACTGAACATACGTCATATGCCAAATACATTCAGCTGTTGGAATAACACAGACCGACAACATTGTTTACCCAGAAACCAGATTATTATTATCAGAAGGGTTTTAATGCACTGAATCCGAATCCGTCCTCCAAATCTCCCAATCGGCACTAGTTTTCGAGATATCCTACCCACAAAGTTCAAAACAAGTGTGTCATATTTCAGGTTTTGTTGCATAGCGAATTATTTCTTATTAAACCACAGACATCATCTAACAGTATAAGCATTACCCTTTCAATGCTATTAAGTATGAATATATTTTTTTTCGCTGAGATGTGGCACATAGAAATGTTTATTTTTCTGAATTTAACTATATTCGTTACTCTACATAAACGTTATGGTTACGTGTTCATCAAGGTTGTGGTTTAAATTATAATACATCTAACATTTAATAACAAGTTAATGTACTTTTATGAAATGAGACCTGCCAATTAAAAAACCCATAGACCCTCAATACTAAGTCCATAAAATACCTAAAACTTGCACAAAATGGAATTTTTCAATCAATTAAAAAAACATGTATTGATTTTGTATACGTTTAAAATATGTGCTTTGAAAAGGGGTGAAATACGGGAGGATAGGGGACGGGACAAAGTATTATTATTTTCATGAAATATACTGCACAGGATGCTTGAATTTTGGATGCCGGATCTGACATCGCTGACTTGGCTGGCTTTCGTTGAAATCGGCGCATTGATTTGTCTTCCTCAATGTTTCTGACAAATTTCTTCAGAGTTTGATGAAGGCGTGTTGCCACACTGTACTTTCGTAGCATCTCCCAAAGTGTGCCATCTGGGATGCAGACCGGGAACTGCCCAGAGCACAAGCCCACAACCCACCCCACCCTATCAAGACCTAGTTCAACTTTCTTACTTTTGATTGCATATTTCTTTTTTAATAATTACTTTCTTCCGACAACAGCTGATGTGATTTAGATCCGAACAATGAAAGTTCCAAAGCGCCATATTTCAGCGACAAATCAAGCAAATTAAACCGAATTTGAAAGGCAAGGATAGTTTGAGAATGATATCTGGTTTTTTGAAAAAAATTTTACATAATTTCAAATCTAAGCAAACATCGCTATTTTTGCACTTTTAGGTTTGAATTTATCGAAAACTAGAGCCAATTGAGGGATTTGGTCCACAGATTCGGATTTAGTGAATCAAAAACCATGTTTCTGGGTCGGTCTGTGTGATCCACGATTTTGTAATTATTCTGGAAATACAAAGTTGCACATTATAATAATATAAAAGTACCTTAGCGATAACGCCCCACTTCTTGAGCTTGGTATGTAATGTACTATTTGGTAATATCATATACGCGGGAGGGAAAATATGTTTATCTCACCTTTCAGTTTAAAATGCGACTTGATAGTAATTTCGTCAGATTTTCTTATTCAATTGCAATGACTACAGTATTTAACGTATTTTCGGGCGAAATTGTACGATAGGCAAGTAAAAAGTATCAGCATCTGACATGTCTTTTTGGAACGGCACTTTTTGGTGGTAATTTTATGAAAATACCTCGTATGTAAATGATCCTGATTTAACGTTTCTGGGCAAATCGGATACGAGGGGTAACCTAGAACTTACTAATCACCTTAAAGCGCAATAAAAAATCCTGCATTCAATTAACATGGGTGCAATCATTGTATCTTACCTGTGATTGAGATCCGGATGCAGTTCCTGTTTGGGCCCAGGTGTGACGATGGCCGGATGTCCTCCTCCGGGCCCCCCACCAATATGGTGATGGGCGTGCGAATGGGGATGGTGTGGAGGCGGGGGGTGAGGAGACAGACCGGGATGAGGTTGTATCAGTCCGGCGGCCGTCGGAGAGAATCGGTAGAAATCGGCCGCCGCGGATGACAGACCAGGAAGAGATCCCGCAGGATACGATGCTGCCGCCGCCGCAGCCGCTGCGGCCGCCGCGCGGAAGCTGCCTGCCGCGCCGGGGCCGAGGGGGTACACCGATGGTGTGTGCCTGGAAAATACGGGATTTTAAAATCTAAAAAGTTCACTCATTTGGGTCAATTTTGAACAGTTTTTGTAAAAACGGTATCGATTTAACTTATACCTAATGATATTTTTTTAAATAATTTTTTAATAATGCAAACTAACCCTCTTATTATGCAACTATATATATATATGTGATTTTTGGTATATCAACTCCTTTTAATGACTCCCACTAGCTGTTAAAATAAATGACTCAACTTTGAAAACACGCTGTATATCTCTATCTCTCTCTATATATCTATAGTCTAGCATAGGATAGTGGTACCAGTAAATGAACACTACGTCCAAAATTACCTGAAATAACACTGATGCTTTCTAACGTTATTTTGAGTTGTGTTTAATTAGTTTTTGCAAATTTGGATCCCAAATTCGGCCGACTATGACAATTCAAAGTGAATGGTGAACAAGTTAGACTCTATAGCAAAAGTGATTTTATTGATATTTTTATGAGTTGTCCTTTATATACTACTCTAATAGAGGCTGTTTTGATGAAAAATCGTCAGGATAGGTGTAATACAACTCAAATGGTTAATAACAGTTGATATTCAAGCAGTAAAGAGTAGTTTTCGACCCGGTTATTTGCTGGAGAAACCGTTCGTTATCCGTTTTTTGAAAAACATAGTCGTGTTTGAATCGAATGTTCAAAGTTTTTAATCAAATTATCAACAACGTGAAAAAAGTACAAGGCCCATAAATTAAATAATCAGACTAGCAACGTAGCATTCGATCTGGCAACACTGGGAGCACCGGGCTTGGAGCGGAGGGATGGGAACATGTGATCCATCTTCAGTACAAGTTTGAACTGGCTCGAGTTACTGAATTGTACGTAGCATGTTTTTTTTGTGGAACAGTTTTTTCTATTATGTTCTAAAAATAAGTGTCATCAATCAGGTTTTGATTCAGACATGGGCACAGTGTAACGGAAACTCTTGCTAACCTCGATCAGAACTTAATCGTAAAATTTTCTATTTTTTTTATGGAGCTACACTCAAGATTAAACATTTTTGTAGTTTGTCATGTTCGCCGCAAAAATATAATTGTAGACAGAGTTAAAAATCTCACAATTTGAATTCAGCAAATTTAGCGAAAATAAACATAAGGTCACGTACATCCCTTTTTTTAAATACTTGTTTTTAGAGATATTTTTAATATTTTCCATCTGATTATTTCATTGTGTGTATAGAGATGACTAAAAAATATTTGTTATCGATTTTTTTTGTTGAAAAATACATTTTTGTGCATTGTATCGTACATTTTTCTTTCAAGCGTAACTTGTTAACAGATGATAGTATACCTCTCAAATTGTATGTGAATATTTTACTTTTATAATAGAATTGAGCGGGTAATTACTTTGTCATTTGTTCTCCAAAAAAATCTTTGCTTTTCTTAAAAACAAATTTTCCAGTAAATTAAGTTTTCAAGTGAATAAGTAAAAAGGACACCCGCTCAATTCTACTACAAAAGAGGATTATTCACGTGCAATTTCATAGCTAGTTACGACCGAAGAAAGAATGTATAAAAATATATATTTGAAAAACAGGTTAATTACATTTTTTCAGTCATCTCTATGTACACCAGGAAACAATAAGATGGAAAGTATTTTTCATACTACTCATCCTAACACGCTTTTGGAACACAAGGTACGAGGGACGTTAACCTGAACGCTGCAAGTGAGGACAAAACTTACTCAGATCACGTTAGTTAAACTCACTTTTGGTAAAAAGCATGTGTAATCAAACTGAAGTGGGATTATGTGTAGAACGAATACAGCTGCAATCATGAAACAACAACTTTGAACAAACAACAACATATTGTTCTTCACTTTGATCAGTCTTTGAGTTAAATGTTTTACAAATGAAAAATACAAATCGGAACAATTCATTTCTTAAATTTGTTGAGGAAACTAGAAAATTACAGGTATTTGCTCTTTTCTTGTTTTTTGACTACGATTTAATAACCAAGTTGAACTAGAGGAATATCAAACTTCAACAGTAAGTCGCAGTCTTCCCTCCTTCAAGTATGTGTTGATGTGGTGTATAGAAAATATAATACGATTCGTATTCATGAATGCCTAAGAATTGGCATTCTTTACATCCCTAATATGTAATGTTTCCAAAACTACCCCAAACCGAAGATGCGCTTATATGGTGTGCCCTAAAATAAAATCCAATCTTTTGGATATATAGTACGTATACATAGAACCCATTGAAGTAATACCACAAGTTCCTATCAAAAACGTCAATCATTGATGTACAAAATAACGCTTATAACATCTCAGAAACTATGAGCCGCCATATTATCATCGTATTTCTCCAAAACCGGCCTTTATTAATCTATCTATCGATGTTCGCTGAATGACAAATTCCATCAAAATCATAAACGGTTAAGAATGAACAGACTACTTGACTAAAATGGCACCTAGTCCGTATTGCCCAATAGGGCAACAAGTGACACTGATAATCCCACTTCTGAAATCTGGAAAAGCCTCCGACTAATCCAGCAAGTTCTTTCCAGACTGTTTGTCCAAAAAACACCCTCTATTAGCCCTCTCCCCCCTTTTGTCGAGAAGATCTCGATCTGTCTGGCCCCATCTGCTGTCCTTAAGAGGATTTGTTGCGCACTCTTTTAATTGCGAACAAATGGGATTTCGGCCGCCGCTTTGTGCCTAAGGGCGCTAACGGCATTACAATTTCCTCGACCAGAAAAATTCTGAGATGTGGCTGGGGGATCTAATGAAGTGTTTGAGATTTTTTTTGGGAAAGCGGGTAGAGACCGCAGGTGCAGATGTAAGAACAGTGGAAGTTTCAGATACATCTGACGTTGAGACCAATGCTTTGTTGACAACATTGAGTTGAACTTTTTTTTGACTAAATATGACTGAGATTTTTATGAATTCCCGATATACTAGTTTCATAGCTATTGAAAAACATTTTTTAATTCAGTTATGAAAATATTTATAAGAAAAAAAATAAAAACTACTTACCAACTCGCCACCTGTGACATTTCTGGACTGAGCATGGGGTAAGGGTACTGGCCAGCAGAGAAAGGGTACATAGGGGGTCGGGTAAGGCCTGAAACAAAAGATAAAATAACAGAATACAAATATTATTCAAGTAACATTTATTCACAGATTAGTTTAAGTTCTCGCATAGATATAAATAATATGTCACCAAATGTGGGAAAACCCCATTGTATAATCTGGCACGGAGCAATAATATAAAAATTCACGTTCAGTCAACCCAACAAATGACATCACATACGATACATAACTGACTTTATATAGAGACCATTTTAAAATACCATGAACTTGACTTTTTTCAACAATGCTGTCGAAATTGGTAACAGGTACATTTGTTTGAAAAACGTTATCAAGTGATATTTTGACTATATTCCAGGATATTGCTGCATGTTATCTAAACAGAATGGACCATATTATAGCTAGTTATATAAATGTTAAGTGTGGTTTCCCTAATCAGAAAATTTGCGATGCGTATTCAGGATTCTAAGTTAGAGCGTCATACCTATATGTTAAACACCACATTCAAATTATATTTTTTATCAGATTTGTTTTGGGTATGAGCATAGTACAACGTAGTTTCAGTCACAAATTATAAACATACAGCTAAAGGATATGACACGATCAGAAGGAGTACAGTCTTTCTTGCAATGAATTATTTTGGTATACCTCGAAGGTTCACAAGAATGACAATGACACAAAAAAAAGTATGGTCAAAATAAGATGAGAATTGACAGAAGAGTTTGAGATTAATTCAGAACTTAGGCAGGGAGACTCATTATCTACCTTTTTATTTAATATGATCCTAGAAACTATTGTTATTGGGAGTCAGCTAGATAGATCAGGAAGCATATTATTTAAAAGTCATCAGCTAACTGCATATGCTGATGATGTCGCCATAATAGCTGGGGACAAAAAGACAATGGAAAAAGTGGTAGAACAATTTATACAAGTTGCAGCAAAAATGGGATTGAAGGATTGAAGGTAAAAAAAGTAAATTTATGAGACTAGGGAGCTGTCAGGCGGAAACGAAGTTAGAAATAATGGTAAGCACAGGGAAAAAAGATTTTTGAGGAGGTGGATGAGTTTGTGTATTTGTTTGTGTGTATTTAGGAAACCGAAGTAAACTATAGAATCGGTGAGACCAATAAATGTGCGGGAATGCTGAACAGGAATATCAAGTCAAGAAATGTATCTAGTCTCTAGTCACTATACGATGCGATCATCAACCCAACAATTTTGTATGGAGTGTAAACCTGGTTAATTAATAAAATCTTGCAGAAACCTTACTCAGGTGAGAGAGTAAAATTTTAAGAATATTTGGAGGGGCCAAGGTGAAGGGAGGTCTAATGCGGAAGTAAGTCATTTGTAGGTGTATAATGAATCTAATATAGTAGAAGTAGCTAGGATCAGAAGATTGCAGTGGCTGGTGCACCTGGAAAAAATGCCGCATGAAAGAACAATGAAGCAGATAACATGGAGAGTTCTGGATACCAAAAAAACAGGGAGACTGAGAAGAAGATGGAAAGACGCAGTTATGGAAGATTTGAGGAGCAGGAAGGTCGCACATAGGAAGAAACGGTTATTGGACAAGAAGTGGTGGAATAAACTTAAGTTTAGGACCTGAAGACCTATTTGTAACTGCATATACAATGTCGAATACATACACATCAATTCTTTGAGTTCCTTCCATATTGCAAACTCCTCCAGTGTCAAGGTTTCCGAATCAAATAAACATCCTTTTGTCCCGGGCGGACTAAGACTGCACTTCTCTTTACAGCAACTGAATATGGCATTATTATTGTAGTTATTAATCCTTTCACTAAATTTCATTTTTACAGTACTTATTTTCTATAATTATTAAAGTGGATTTGATCCACTGCTAGTACGGTTCAACACAGCCAACGAACTAACGTCGCCTTCAAAGAAAGAAAGCAAAGAAAGTTTTTTCTTTTCATACAAGAAGTTTTTGATGAAAAAGTGGTTATGGCACGTATCTGGTCGGTGTAGAGCCATGCCTAGATGAGTGATCGTGCTATTTTCTCTTATCTCGTTATCAAAGCGAATATTAATAACTAATTTATTCTAAATACTTGCTTCTCAGTTCGGCATCAGCCGTAATTTGTACTTCCCATGCCAACTGGTGAGGAAATATAGTAGTAGCAAAAAATGTCGCAATAGCTATATTGTTTTTTGATGTTATATGCTATTCAAGGTGATTCTGAGAATCGTGGCGGTATTTCTGCAGTGAAAAGTAGGTTCAAAAATAATATGAAATGTGGTTACAAACATGGGTCCTAAAATTCGCTTTTACCCAGATATAGGGTATTGAAGTTTTAATTTCTAAATAAAAATATATATTTGGAGTATAACTTAAGATATTAACTTGAAATTTTGTACATGTAGTACACCAGTGGCGTAGACATTGAGAAATTTTGCCCCTACAGCAGAAAAAAGAAAATACGCCACTGATTTTTTTTTTAAATATCTGTTACGTTTTTTAATAAGATATCCAATTTTAGATGAATCACCTCTCTTGAGAAATTTCTGTCTGATGTGATTTAAATATTTGAAGCAAAAGGGTTGTTCGTACAGTGGTCGGTGATTTGTCGGTGACTGTGTCTGAGATCCGGCCGTGTGAATTCCATCTATATAGCGTAGCAGAATTGACGGGATCTTGGGCACGATCACTGACAGGTTGATGACAGCGGTACGAACAGGGATAAGAATTCGTATAAAAAACTTGTACGTGGTCTACTTTGAAAATACGCCAAAGTTAGCGAAATTTGACACTAAAAAGTGTATGTAGTGTATATACGAGGGCAATCCTACCTCACCATAGCGACCAACAATATTCATGTTTTGTTCATATTCAGTCTCATCAGTGACGTTTAAATTTAGAACACCATTTATCTTGGTAATGAGACACTTTAGAACCCACTTTTATGGGAACTCTATTCATTACCTTCAGATGCAATCTACAAATATTGCCACACTTCATATCAGTCATTTTCGTCAGGTTACTGCCTATACATTAATCCGTGACCTTTTTATAGCTTGGATTTTGATGAAATTGTCGTAAAAAATTACCAACATGGCAAGAACGGAAATGATCTCAATCTCGTTTTCTAAGGTTTTTTCAGATTATCATCATTTCCTTGGATGGCGCAAAGTTCTCAAAAAATTTGAATAGTTGTTTTTTCAACGTTTTTCAGCTTTCTGGACAATCTGAGGTGTCGTCAAAAAACTTTAGGGTGTTCTTTGACTTATCACTTTCAACGCGTGAAAATACGAGTACAAAAATATTCTTCGAATCATAACATATAATTTTTGTATGTTCGTATTAGAGTACATCTACTTGTCTACATGTTCTTTCTCTATATTACTGAGCACGTAATATCCTCTCTACTCTTACAAAACTAAGTCTACCCTCACTAACTACAAATTGCTGTAATATGGTCACGTGACCACTTTTTAGCCGGATCATAGTGGCCCGAGGTGAAGTGACAATTATATTCGGGCACCAGCCAGGGTATGACAATGACAAAAACCGCTCTAATTATCGCGCCCCGAAACCTCTCCAGAAGGCACGTGCCTTTATATGATGCGGCCAACCCCAATGGTCGATTTGAATTCTGGACGTGCACCAGCTTGAGGACAAATAGAGAAGTTAGTAATTAAGAGAGACTTTAAAATCATAATAAAATAATTACCCGGCACTATTTGTATGTCTCGTTAAGGTTCTTCATCATTTCTGTGTCCTAAACATGTAAATTCCGTTATAAAATGATTCTAAAGATCTTTTCCTGAAATTCTAGGTATTATCGTATATCGGGAATGTAAGATAAGATGCCAAAAATCGGATCAACAAGATGACTCCAGTATAAGAAAACGTTTCATCAGAAAACCAGAAATCAGTTGTTTCACTTTTGAATAGAAAATTGAAGATAAAAATTCGAGACTTTTTGACAGACATTTCAAGACCACGCGGATCTAAAATATTTCTGTCATTCTGAACAATTGTAAATATGAAAATACATACACATTATTTTCAGCAGCAATAATGGCACAACTCATAAATTAATATTACGCTGATTGAAAATAATTTTCGTTTGAGCAAACTAAAACATTTCTTATGCATTTTCCTTAGCAATGAAAACTGCAAACCTACTTATCTCAAAACATGATTTTTTTGAGTTGTACCGCTTATTGCAGCCCATAAGCGAAATGTGCATCATCTCAATGTGGATAATATCTGGGTCTTACGATCCTCGCTTATTTGCGATAAATACCGCTAAATCTGAGAATGCCAACACATGACATCAAGCTACCCACCCCTCTGGTAATCATTCTCCTATACAATACACCCGAACAACTATTGAAAGTCAAGCATCGAACATCTATATATTAATCAATCGCAATCCTCATCAAATATCAACCCTCACCCCGAGTCTCAAATCACTGACATTAACTACGCCCATCAGTTTTGTTGCTCAGATCAACAAGTGCGGGGGGTGGAAATTCGAGGGGAGAAGGGATGCCATTGTGATCCAGCATACGGCGCTCGCTGTCCATTGTGGCCCTCTCGAATTTGTATACATCCCGCAAAAAGCATTGGGGTGGGGGGAGGGTTGATATCAATCGCGCCCTTTGTGCGTGTTTGGAATAGATGACCGTACGGGACTTCTTAAAATCAACTTAAGGGGTCGAATCTAGGCGACCCGATCGTGAGTTGAATGAGAGGATACTGTTGACCAAAAAGGAAGAGCGCAAGATAACAATTTTTTATGTTTGAGCTGTTATGGGTTCGACCTTCAACACCGGACTACCAAAACTGATTATCGTGAGTGCTGATTACTAGCTCAATCTTAGCATGCTAACGCAATGCTGTTTATTATGGAAAATCGAACAACTGGGGAATGGTTGGTTCATCGTTTCTGACATAATATAATTGACAACCTTTAAAATGCCAAATATAAGAAGCAGTTATTAAGTGAATTTTGCAGCGCTCTGTTTCTTCCAACAATTTCTTTGACATACATTTGTGTTTGTTTTACTTAAATCCTGGAGATGTCAATAAAACAAAAGTAGTAAATAGATGAAAATATTGACGTTTTTGACGTGCATCTGTAAATGTGCAAACGCCGTATGCGCACCAGAGTTTCGAAAGCCGCTCTTTAGCGACAGCATTGGCTTCATACGAATATGTTTTTCCTTAAGTAGTGTTTAACCTCAAAACTCTCCTTTTCGTGGTATTTTATCACTAAGTTGTCAGGTAGTCGTAAGTTTTATTTATGTCTAGAATTTTCAATTACTTCCCCAAGCTTTTAAAGTACTAATTTTCTAGAAAGTCGATTTCCACATGTTATTAATGTTCATTCTAGTTTCCGAAGTGGTACGGCTTAGTTCCAAAAATCCACCAATAGCTTGAAAACGTTAGTCGCTTACACAGCAGAAAAGGAAAAAGGGGCAGGTGGTATTAATAATAAAACACATAATCACTCGCTGATATAGGAGATTCGCCAGAAGCGAAGAGCACAACGAGGGGAACTAATCGATCGCTGCGCACTTAGTGACTAAAACGATGGCCTGATAGTGGAATATAAGCGAGGTCTATATGGTAAAATCTGTTTCATTTGACTCATCTGCTATCTGGCAATGGTGAAAATATTTCGCTATCATTATCTCTCAGATCCAGAGATAATTGTTAGTCTGAAATTCAAATTGTTCATAACCTCAAATCGAATAAATGTCCGTTATTTTCATTGATATCCGTTGATTTCTATTTACATTTTTGTTCGACATTCGCCCGGTGGGGCTGTCATCGCGTACCTAGCGAGCCTCATATACCACAGTTTGATCGACATGGACACTACCAGGCTTTACAGAACACAATTAACTCATTTAGATCGCCAGAGGCCAACTAGCTCTTAAACACCATTGCTCATTTTTTAACACGCTGTGTAGGTAATAATGCTACAACGATATTCTTCAGCCGAAAAATAATGTATTGTTCAATCTCCATGCGTTGGAGGCATTGACAGTCTTTCCAACTGTACTTTTAAAAAGGTCACTGATGCACTATGTGGTCCAAACGTAAATAAAACTCCATTTCTAAATCAGTGCTTTAATGCATTTGGTCAGGAGAACATAGACAGATCGATAAAATAAACCGTTTTTTAGAAAAATACTAACGTTGAATAGGATATGTTTGCTTTCCGTCTCTGTGACCGTGGACTAACGTTGTTTCATACTTGGTAGAGGATAAAGCTTCCAAAAAACATTCCTTTTGACGATCTAAAGATTTTAATATTGTTCGACATGAACGTCATCATGTGAGGCCTCAACTGGTTACTAAGACAACATGTCATTAAATTGCGCAGTGTTAAAAATTATTCAAAAATAACAGATTTCTATTAGCGTTCCATTCCTTCGTAGTGAAGCGCGTACGTAATTTTTTTATAGAGAGTTACTACATTATTACTTCCCACGCCACTGACGAGGAACTATTGTAATCGCGAATTTTTTTTAAAATGAGATATGTTTTTTGTATGTTATGTGACATGTACATCTCAAACAACCATGTCAATTATGCCTGTCAGTTTGTCTGCTAATCCTTTGTCCGTCCTGAACTTGGGAAGTACAACTTGGATTTCAATGAAATTTGTATACAAGATTACTACTATGCCAAGGCCGAAATAGCTATATAGTTTTTAAAAACAAGTGCCAGTGGCTGCGGAGAAAACGAACAAAAACGAAAAAAAAATATAATAAAATATAATAAAATTCGCTCATATTTCGTTTCTGACGTTTCAAAGGATCTTGATTATTTTCAAGAATTTTTTTCGATAGGTTAAAATCTGATGTTGGGATTGTATGGGATGGGATACTAAACATATTTCACACATTATAGAT